CACACGCGTACACGACGTGATTCCATTTCCTCAACTGATAATACCTCCGACTCTTCAGTTTATTGTCCCATTAATCCGCCCAGTGCCGATGTGCAGCGCATACTGGACGACAAGGCTTCGCGCCTATTTGACGGGCATCAGCGACGGCGACATCAGTACGACCGTGCTGAGGGGGGACTCGAGGATACCATATACGCCTCAGTGGTATCGGAGAAGAAGGGCGACAAGTCGCGCCACAAGTCGAAGCGTCGCTATTTAAATGAGAATCGCGTTGGCTCGCTGGAAACCAGTCCGGTGCAGGGCTCGTTGGGTCAAAGCAACTCTTCCACGGAGGAGGGTAACTCGCCAGCTGCTATGCGTCGCAGCTATGAGAATTTTCAGCGCAATGAGGCCTACAATCCGCACAACAATTACCATCGCAATAAGCTGCTGCAACAGCAAACTATCTTTACGGATAAGGAGTACCCGGAGGATGATACCGTTGGCTCCCCACAAGCCATCAACAGGGAGATGATACGTTCACGCGGCGCACAACCATCGGAGAAGTCTTCAGATACGGCCAGTGTAGGCTCCTTTCTTTCCATGGCGTCGGTACGCGCCTTTCCCAAGAGCACATTGCCCGAGCCACTGAATCGCGTGCTGGATCCCGTTTTTGTCACCTACTACGACAATGTGAATGCTGTGGCACCGCAAGCCGCAGCAGCACCGCCACAACAGAACTCCACCAGATCCCTCAAGTCACACAAATCCCTTGGGAGCAGGGATAGCACCATAGCGACCATTGCCAGTTTTCCCAGTCCGAAGGCGCCACCTCCAGTACGGAATGTGCGTTCCGCCTCGCACAGCGATAATCCGGATCCGGGTTGTGTGGGTCCCGTCGTCTGGGAGCGGCACAAGAAACGTCTCAGCAGCAGCGCTGACAACCAGGGTGAGGCGGGTGGACACAATGATGATGATGATGATGATCATGATGTTGATGATGATGATCATGATGTGCAAATTGGGGCACAGACACGCTACTAACTGGCAACTGTAGTCCTAGTTGTTGTTATTCTTGTTGTTGTTGCCTGCACACAACTGTAATTAGTTAACCCAGTTAGAGACCATAGAACCCAAAAATATATATATATATATATATATATATAAACAAAACAATCCACTTGCAATTCAACTGAACCCAACTGAACACAACTGAACTCAACTGAACTTCCTCCAAACATCTTCCGCAGAGGCCCAGAGCTATGCTGACTTTAGCCCCAGTCCCATGCACGATGCATCCGCCATACGCAACCACTATGAGGGCTTATTAGAGGGCGCCATGCAGATGTACGCCAGCCAGGACGATCTGCCCATGCCATTGCCCTCGCGAGATTTTTCCAACAAGCGCCGTATCACAAAACGCGAGCATCGCGGCTCTTCCGCCGGCTTGCCCAGGTATGTGGCGGTGCCTTCAATCTTGGTAGCTGCGTAACCAGCGCTTTATCTATCCCTTACAGCAATCCCTCAAAGGCATATAGCTCTGCGGATCGGCCGGCCACTGCACAACCGGAGAAGACACCAAAATCGGCCCAGTCCACGCAGCCGCCATCGCCCACCTACAGCGCTTGGGGCAGCAGTCTGCACGGTTCCCACTCACCGCTGGTGCGGCCACTAAGCGCTGGTCCCTTTCTGCGGCCTGAAACTATTTTGGAGATTTCCCGAGGAGCACTTATCACTTCCAGCTCCACCGCAAATACGCCGGGACGTGAGCGTAAGGCATCGGCGCCTTCGGCCGCGCCACTTATCGAGGCCATTCAAAGCGAACTGCGTAAGTTCAAGCAGCAGAAGGATTAAACAAACCAGAACAAAGAGAGGAGAACGAGAGTGCTCTCTGAAAAAAATAATGAATTTTTTGGTTAATAACATAATACGCTGATAAACGTAAACTCTTTTCCATTTCATTACAATAAAATTTTCACAAAACTTGAATATTCCTTCTTTTAAATTCAGGCTAAAAATGATTAATTACAAAAGTACTACAAACGAATTTGAAAGTAAAAGTAGAATCCATGCATCCTTGGTGAAAAATGGGATTCAAAGATTTTTAGGAGGAAGGTTTAAGTTTTGTCTGACTGGCTTCAAACATATTGTCAAAACCTACATAAAAACTAACTGAACCGTGTTTTAGCGATTTTTTTTAATTCCACCCGCACCTATGGGAATTTTTCGAAAAACGTTCAACTTTTTTGATTACCATCTGATCAATTTTTAACTCGTTATTTTCAAATATAATTGTTAAAATTTATTTGATACGTTCATCACTAAATCCTCCGCTCTTAAATGGGAAAAGCGCGCCCAAAAGGTTGATGAACGGAAGTTTATTTTTCGGCTTCAAGATTTTCACCACATGACCTACATGAGCGTAAACAGTTGACTCCAACTTTTGATTCTTAATTTAATGGATTTTAAACGTCTTTTCAAATCTCTATAAAATATAACTTTATACGTGGAGTTCGATACTACGGGTAGATTATAATTTTCCACGCGCAGGAAACTGGATTGATATCTAAAATTTCAAGTATTAACTGTTTGCGTGTATGTCATTGCATGTAAAATATGTGTATATGTATATGTATGTATGAGGCATGTATATATGTTTGTATGTAGTACATATAATTGTATGTATGTTTGTTTGACCATATATATGTTTGTATGCACGTATGTACGTTTGTATGTATGGATGTGAGTATGCATGTGTGTATGTATGTATGCCTGTATATCTCTATATATAAAACTGTTTGTCCTGACTGACTGACTGACTGACTGACTGATTGGTGATCAACGCACAGCCCAAACCGTAAGAGCTAGGAAGCTGAAATTTTCACTGTAGTTACCTTGTGTGATGTAGGTGCACGTTACGGCGGGGTTTCAGGAAATTCCACCCGTAACTGCGGAAAAATCGCGAAACACGTTTGTATGTAACTTTTTTGTTTACCATCCGATCGGCCTCAAACTTATTTTCAAAGATCTTTGTTCAAATTCATTTGAGGGGTGTTTCACACTTTTAGAAAAATCCATTCCTCCTTGGTGGAAATGGAGGTCAAAGATTTGGTGGGTGACGTTTCGCGCTCAAATTCATTTCCAGAGATCTATAAGAAAAATCATTTGAGACGTGTTTCACACTTTTCGCAGAATTCAAACTTCTTCGGGGGGAATGCGATATAAAGATTTTTTGGGCGAAGCTTTAAGTTGTATCCGATTTGCTTCAAACTTATTTTCAAAGCTCTACATAAGGATTTGGGAAATTCCACCCGCAACAGTGGTAAATTGGCGGAAAAAGGTTGTATGAAAGTTTTTTGTTTACCATCCGATCGGCCTCAAACTTATTTTCAAAGATCTTTGTTCAAATTTATTTAAGAGGTGCTTCAAACTTTTCGAAAAATCCGTTCCTCCTTGGTGGAAATGGAGGTCAAAGATTTGGTGGGTGACATTTCGCGCTCAAATTCGTTTCCAAAGATCTATAAGAAAAATCATTTGAGACGTGTTTCACACTTTTCGCAGAATCCAAATTTTTTCGGGTGGAATGCGAACAAGGATTTATTGTGCGAAGTTTTAAATTGTGTCCGATTTGCTTCAAACTTATTTTCAAAGCTCTACATAAGAATGTAATGAATACGTGTTTCAGCGATTTGGGAAATTCCACTCGCAACAGTGGTAAATTGGCGGAAAACGTTTGTAAGAAAGTTATTTGTTTACCGTCCGATCAGTTTAAAATTTTTTTGAGAACATTGATTGACATACGTGCCACGGGCTAGGCCGGGTTATACCCGCTAGTATGTAAATATGTATGTTTGTATGCGCGTATGTTTATATTTTTGTATGATTGTGTGTATGTTTGTATGCATGTATGTATGTATGTATGTATGGATGAATGAATGTATGTGTGTAGATGTGTGCATATATGTATATGCATGTGTGAACGAATGTATATATTAAGTAGTATGTATTTATGTATATACATATATAAATATATATATATTTATGTATGTTCCCATGCATATATGCATGTGTGCATGTATATGTGTATATATTAAATGAATGTATACATCTAATTTGAGTGTTTATATGCAGGATCAAGTTTACCTCTAGCTATGCTGCAAATTATAAACAAACGTATTTTTAACTAATTCGCTTCTACGCGATTCTTATGAATTCATGTAAGTCTCCTTCACTTCAAGTGGGTGTCACAGGATCCCTGAAAAGCAGATTAGGCAAATTCAGATGGCTGCTCAACAGTAGAAATGCGCTATCTTTAAAAAACAAAGTTAACATATACAAAACCTGCCTAGCTCCTGCCTGGCGATATGGTATTCAAGTTTACGGTATTGCTGCAAAATCGCGCCTTACGAAAATCAGGGTGTTTCAAGCAAAAACGCTCCGCTATCTGTCTGGTGCCCCCTGGTATATGCGAACTTCCGATTTGGAAAAAGACCTAGGAGTGCCCAAAGTCGGGGACGTCATAAACAAACAGACTGCAAACTACATAACGCGACTGGGAAACCATCCAAATCGACTGGCTAGGCGCCTTTTAAAGAGGCGTCGAATTGGAGGAGTCCGAACGCGGAGGAGACTGCGGAGGTCTCATCCAATCGATCTCCCAGATCGATATATATAGTCACCGTAACTTTGTTAATTTTAACTGAAACTTAATAGTAGACTAAGTAGTATTGTAAATTTTCTAATAAATTTAATTTAAGTTGTTCTTATAATAACAGGAAAATTTAAATAAAGCTAAGAAAATTTAAAAAAAATAAAAATCACTTCAAGTGGAGGAGGCGGCGGCTTCAACTATGGAGGAGGCGGCAGGTTCAGCAAAGAAGAATGCGGCGGCTTTAATATTGGAGGAGGCGGCAATTTAAGTAAATGAGGATGAGGTGACTTTAGTATTGGTGGAGACGGCGGTTTTAACTATGGAGGAAGCGGCAGCATGAGTAAAGGGGGAGGCGGCAGCATGCGTAAAGGAGGAGGCGACGGCTTGAAAAGTATATAATAATATTAACAAGTAAAAAAATCGTATGTTTGCCTTTTGGTTTGCTCGTATTTGGATACATACATGTAAGTCAGGCTTAGCAAGCAAGATGCAAGATGAAGAAGTTCTTAAGCTAATAAACATTATATCTGCTTTTCTGTTCGTTCAGTGATGTGCTTATATAAAAGTTCGTCTCCCGCCTAGTGATAGTTGACGTGTAAACTTACAGGTGAGTACGTAATTTCAAATATATGTATTCCTTATTCCACCCACAAGGTTATTTGTGAATGATCATCCTTCTTGATAAAAAAATGTGGCTCAAACGATAATACCTCCTTTTGGTTCTTTATTTTATGGACACAGGTCTATTTTTAGGTATCTACACAAAATATAACTTTAGCCGTGGAGTTCAAGATAGTACGCGTAGATTTTCCTTTCCCTGTCACCCTTCCGGTTCCTTTGATAGAAGGTTCTGTTACTGCCGCAAAAAACTAACTTCGTCTTCCGACCTAGTTGCTATTCATTATCAGAATGACATAGGTCTCATTTCATTTCTTTATGGCTAGCACTACCTTCGATTCGGATATGATTGCATTTTCAGAAACATGGTTAAATTTAAAATAACTTTATTGTGCTTAGAAATGATCGGCCGACTCGAGGTGTTGGTGTATTAATTGCCGTTAAAGCCACTTTACAGTTGGAACCTTTCTATTTTACTACGCCCACTGACGCTGACATCGTTTCAATTAAGGTGTCTTTTCCATCACGCGATATCCATATTACATGCTCCTATCTTCCTCCTTCTTCTGATATTCAAGTTCATATGAAACATATTACTTGTATTAAAGATGTTTCTTCACACGTGCATGATAATGACATATTATAGTGTTAGGTGATTTTAATTTACCAAACATCTCTAGACCCTCAGCACCACCGGTGCTTTCGCAAAGGAAGCTATTCCTTGCTTAATCAACGTATTTATGCAACCGATTGGTCGTGTTTATATGACTTGGTTGATATGAATATTGCTATTAATTTTTTTATAACATCCTGAAGTCCATCTTAGATGTTTGTATTCCAAACCCAATACAACCTCAATTGTTTCTTCAAAGCCACCCTGGTTTACTCCCATCTTTCGGGATGGATATAGCTAGCAATGAATTTGGTTTAGCTAACCCCTTTGCTAATTTTTTCCAGTCAACATACTCTACTGTCCTTATAATGATTCTTACCCTTACAATATTACTTCCTCTAGTTTTATATCTGCTTCTTTTATTTCCCATTCCTCTCTTTAAGCTATCCCTTGAATCTTCTGTCTTCCCATCTCTTTGGAAAGAATCTGTACATGAAACGTGGAAAGTCTGATCTAAAAAATTACAGGGGCATTTCAAAACTAAACCTAAATTATTTGACAAAATAATCTCTTCAAATTTGCAGCATTTCTGCAAATCAGTTATCTCCCCTGTTCAACATGGATTCGTAAAGAACCGGTCAACTACGACAAATATGCTAGAATTTACTTCTTTGGTAAATTATGCTTTCCTTTCTAAAATGCAAACTGATGTCATTTACACTGACTTCAGTAAGGCGCTTGACTCTGTGCACCATGATATTTTACTTCTCCTTGACCGATTAGGTTCCCCTCCGTCTTTTTTGCTTTGGATTGGTTCTTATTTAAAAGGTAGGACCCAAAGACTGATGCTGAGGCTGACTACCTCAAAACAGGTTCACGTTACTTCTGGTGTTCCTCCAGGTAGTCATCTTGAACTTTTACTCTTTACTCTTTTTATAAATCATCCCCCCTCGGTTATATCAAAAGCCCGTGCACTTATGTATGCGGGCGATGGGAAACGTATTCTCTCATACACTAATCAATTGTTTATGACCTTCAATCGTAATACACCTTATCTTGTCAGTTATACAATCGACAATACTCCATTGCAACGTATACTAACAGTTAAGGATCTATGCGTTCTTTTTGATTCCAAGCTCTGTTTCAATCTTCAATTAGATACCATCGTTAATGAGACCGAAGGTCTAAAGAGCTTAACGATCCTTTCATAACCAAACTCCTATACATCTCTCTTGTTCGCCCTATCCTTGAATTCTACTCTTGCATATGGTATCTGCAGTAGAACAATAGCCAGGATCGTATTTAATCTGTTCAGAAGCAATTTCTGCTTTTTGCCTTACGAGGATTAAGTTGGAAGCCCAATCTTCGGTTGCCATCCTACTCCAGCAGGCTTCATCTTCCTGATCTTCCGTCGTTAACCAACCGTAGGACAATCCTCGGTGTTGTCTTCCTACATAAGTTGATTGTTGGCGTCATAGATTCTTCTGTTAGAGCGTCTTCAGTTCTCTCTTCCGTCTAGACCTGCCAGGAATTATCGCCCCTTAATCCTACCAACGTGCACAACAGATTACTCTAGGCACAATTCTTTTCGCGTGTTATGCAAACATTAAAATAGTTTGTATTCTGTTTAATTCACCAAACTTTCTCTACCCCTAATAAAATCGCTGCTTTCAGGATCCCTTTGTGAACTCACTGACCATTCCCAGCTATGGACATAACACTCTATGTATCTAGTATTCATTTCTTTAATTTATTAATAACGGCTTTCTTTCTTTTTTGCTATTTATTATATTTTCTTATATTATTTAAGTAAATTAAGATTATTTTTAATTTTTACCTTAGAACACTATTTTCTCTACTAACACCCATTTTCTTAGCTCTAATAGCGTCACTGACAAAATTAGCTGTGAAAACGGGCTTAGCTGGCCGGACGGGAAAAAAACACCGCCATCGATTGATGATGCTATTAGAAAATCGTGTATTCTAATTAGCATTTAATTTTCATAATGTGATGTATTGAATAATTGGGAAGACACTCGTTTTGGTCGACCATTAATAAATAAATAAATTGCCTATTACTTTCACAGGGTAGGGAGGGAAGTGCATACGGCCGAAATTTCTCACGCGGACGACACGCTAGGCCCCGAACCACACATACACGGCCGGGATTACTCAAGTGCCGGCGAGCCGTGCGCTTGGCTCGGCCGCTCAACTTCGCCTCGCCGAATTGAAACTGAGCTCTCGAGACGGTGTTGAACAACCGATCGGAAACGCTCGGTTGCTGCGGCGGCCGGCGGTTAAATTCAAACTTAAATAATGCGGGATCCTTGCCCTTAACTGACTATACGTTTATACGAACGAAGTGACTATTAGATTAACGGCTCCTTGCCTTTATTTAATACTGCTCTTATTCAGATAATGCTTACAACTAACAAAATTAATTATTACATTAACGGCTCCTTGCCTCCTACTTAACTATGCTCTTATTCTAATACAATTAATACTTATAAACTAACAAAACTATTAAATTATAACACCAACGCGACTTTGGCCATAAACATGACGGCTCCTTGCCGTGGATCAAAACTGTGGGGTGGCTGATCCAAGTAGCCACCTCACAAAGCAGCACATTTTCTTTAATAAATTGTGTTTCTTAACCGTTCTTGATTTCGATATTGTTTTGATCGATTGATGCTGATCAAGCGTATATATACTTTATGAGTTCGGAGATGCATTATTCTGCCTGTTACATACATTTGCACAAATACATTATACCCTTTTGACCCATTTTCAATGTATAAAAATTTAATCAAAGTGCACAATGCTAGATTTATTTAAGTGCATAAAATTTTATAAAATGGCTTAGACGATGCTTATACAATGATTATATTATAACGGTTATTGCTCCACCGGAAGTAGACCCATTCCAACAAAAAGCCAACCAGACTCGCGAATATGCCACATGCGTACACCATAAAGATCCTTTCGGAGAAAGTTATGGGCAATGGATATCGGGACGGGGGCTCGAAAGGTGCCTTGCTAAGTATGCCGAGCTGTTCCGCCTGATACAGTCCCAGTAGGAGTTACTTTTGAACTAGTGCCGACTCCCGTACTTGGCCCACGAAGTGCTTCAATAAATTCGAAAGGGAAAGACCCGGACGCACATGAAACCTCATGTACCGTTGGACGCCGCACAATGTTTCTGGACCCAGCCGCAGCTTGGGGTGGAGCAGGCGCTGCTGGATAATCTCCAATATCCACCAATTGTGCGCCTTCATCACATAGGCGTAGCTGTCGTTCAGGGCTTGAACATGTTGATCCCTCGTCTCTATATCAACAACTACCACACGTTCATTTAGAGTTGTTGGTAAGTCATCAAAGAGGCTTTGCATCTGCTCAGGGTATACCATGATATTTAATCCACTGTCCAGGAACGTTTCGGCGTCCATAATTTCGGGCTTTCGCAAACCTGTGATGAGATACGTTGTTAGGGCGTTGCCAAAAAGGCTGAGAAGCAGAAGGTTGTAGATATTGTTCGAGATCTCTATAAATTTCTCTGACAGCCCCAGACGTTGAAACACCTTGCTGGTTGGGGTCTGCCCCATCGTGAGATTGAAATTCCTATAGAGCACCACACCAAGATCACAGCATGGACGATGAAGTAAAACACACCGAACGCAATCAATGAATTATTTCTGTCGAAACATAGAGCATAGTCACGTAAAGAAATCATAATTGCATAGGGCAAGATTAGGCAGGTTCGTGTACTGAATATTATTGGACTATACGCGGCAATACTTAAGTCCGACACCAAATTCGCGCCAATATCAATACATCGGTCTCCCTCATGGGAGACTATTGTGAGTGCATTTATATATTCCCGATATGAGAGGGGTAAAATATCCATAGTCCAACATGACCGCCTAGGGAAATATTTCCGTCGGGTGTTTTATACTGTAAATATAAATTTATTATCGGGAAGAGAAACGATCGAAAACCAGAAGGGTCTATCAAAACTGGCCCACTCTGGTAAAGAGCAACAAGAGATCGGTACTGACCCATATCACCAAATTTACGGTATTCCTGTAGCTCCACTGTCGCTCCACTTCGGACAAATCAGTATATATAATTATCCTTATGTCTGTTTTCATTTCATATGACCAGACAACGGACGTGTTGTTGTATTTATGGATGACCAATACATTATAAAACAGTTTGTTCCGGCACCAGCTAATGAAGACTGACAACTGATTCGTTGTGAGCGGCAAACTATCTTCCAACTTGTTAACAAATATGGTGGTCATTGTCTTGAGCGTCCTAAGTGTTTTGTCCACCGTTTCGAGAATGGGATCATGCATGCCTTTAAAAAGTGACCGCTAGGTTTTGATCATTGATGATATTACTAAGTAGCCCAATTTCAATACCAGCCACAATTACCGGAAGGTTAAAGGTTTCCATAAGACGTTGCTGTAACGATGCGGCGATTGCAGATTTGTTGCCTACCTTCTGGATATCAACGAATGTTATAAGGTTCTTGATAACTAAAACTGATCAGCTTCTGAAATGATCGTTAGAATAATTCGATATTCTTCTTCGGCTTCCTCCACGGGCTTTATTTGGCCAACCACCAGGGCCAGAATGCAGCACCACCAGAAACAAATACTAATACACTTCATGGCTAAATTTTCCCGACTGTTTTGCTAGACGTGTGCTATCCATTTTAAAGCTCTGCAAACCTTGTTTACACAGTTATTAGGCACCATTACGTCGGGACTACTACTAAAGTTTAATATACAACGAGCTCCATTGCTTATCCAACTGACTCTCAAATGGCACTGATATTTTAACTACATACTAAAACAAGTAAGGGGCTCTACTTAGGAGCTCCCAACTAGGGGATACGCTGAACCCTCTTATTCCAGCACCAATTGCAGCTCGCGCTACACGCTCGTTTGCTTTGGTAGTAATAAAATAAATTTTAAAAATATAGTTTCCTCGGTAGGGTTCGACCTCATAACAGACCACACTACTTGCTGCCGCCTCTACTCAACAGGCACACCAACAATTGACCAACAATTCCATCTACAATTGTTGATAGAATTCAAAGAAGACGCGTATGAATGTGTGTGTGTACATAGCTGCAGCAAGCACGAGCCCAGCCAAAACCATATTCTTCAATACAAATACAAATACAAATTGGTGTTTTTATTTTATTTATAGCTATGTGGTGATAGCAAGGTGGTGGCTATATATAAAAATATATATAATATTCTAGAAGCTATATGTCCAGTATGGTTACTCCAGCTATTATTATTTACCAAAATTGCTCAAAAAACACGATTTCGATATCTTGGAAACGGGGTAAGTTATCGAATATCGACCACATATGCGATATTTATTTTTGTGCAGCTACCTGCAGTTTGAAATTTTTAATAATACTCATAATTATTTGCACGTATCTAACAAGCACTGGGAAATTAGTGAAAGCCGAGTTTGGTTAAGATATCTTGAAAAACAAAAAGTTGTTCATACAATAACCTCAATTTCGACCGATCGGTCAGCAGCTATATGATATAGTGATTAGATGTAAAAAAGATTTTGAATAAATGTAAGCATCATAGTAAAACTTATAAATGGCGAGTTTGGTCAAGATATCTTGATAAAAAAAAGTCTTACACACAACACCTATGGCAATTATATGATATAGTAGTCCGATGTTGATAGAAATTTGCATATATATGAGGACCAAAGTAAAACTAATAAATGCCGAGCTTGGTCAAGATATCTTGATAAACAAAAAAAAGTTTTTCATACAAGAACCTCATTTTTTGACCGATCGTTCCTAAGGCAGCTATATGATATAGTGGTCCGGTCCAGCCGGTTCCGACATATGTACTGCGTGCAACAGAAACAGGCACTTCTGCGAAGTTTCATGACGATAGCGTCACAACTGAGAGAATAGTTCGCATAGAAACAGACAGACGAACAGAAGGACGGACGGACAGACGGACATGGCCATATCGACTCGGCTGTTGATACCGATCAAGAATATATACTCTCCATATATGCGCTCACATTTCACGACAAAATTATAATACCCTCTGCAAGAGTGTAAAAACGAATACGCACTTTTGAATGTAGGTCCACATAGGTTCTTTCCGATCTTCGATAACTCCCCCATTTCCAAGCAATCGAAAAAAAATCGATATCGAAACCTTTTTTTTAGCAAATCTCATAGCTTATAAGAGCTTGAGATGGAGATGGATGCACTCGAGAAGCATAGCCCCAAACGGACATGAAACATCAGATGTCGTTGAACGCCGCACAGCTCCTGCGGACCCAGCCGCAGCTTGGGTTGGCGCAGACGCCGCTGGATTAACTCAAATACCAACCATTTGTGGGTATGTGCAACCTATGCATAAGTGTCGTTCAGGGAATGCACGTGTTGATCCCTGACACTCTGATCCACAACGATTAAACGATATTGGACTCCAGCAATCCTGTGCTAAGAACCACTATCAGGGCGCTGATCATGATGCTGATAGCCAGAAGATTATAAATCTGCGTAAAGGTCTCCATAAACTTCTCTGACAGTCTCAGGCTATGCGCTTGATCACAGCATTGACCACGAGGTATAAAAACGCAAATACAGAAATAGACCACTTCTAGTCTAAAGACACTGGGTCACACTGGAGAAAAACACGACGAACGTTGGGCAACAGCAGGCAGGTTAGTGTCACCATCATCAGCGAACTGTGGAGGGACGCACTGAAGTTCGATACCAGATTCGCGCCAATATCAATGCATCTGACTACCTGACTCTTCATATATTCATTATATGACAGAGGCAAAATGTGCACGGACCCCTTCACATGCTGCATAAATGACTCTAAATAGAGGCCAGCTGCAAGTACAAAAATTCAAAAATAAATAAATCAATAATAACAATTCATAAAATTCTGTTCAAACCATTTTATTTGAATACCTACCACTTATGCAAATTTTCATCAGTTTTGTACACGAACATGCTCCACATTGACTTAAGTTCATATTGCGTGCTGTGCACCATGCTTAGAATGGAATCACGAATACCGTTAAAGAAAATCATCGCCAAATTTTCATTTTCGGTACCAGCCACAATTAACGCTGCTGCAACGATGCGGTCATCCTCTGTCTTGCTCTGTGTTTTTCAAAAGTATGTCATGAAATTGCTGATCTTTACTAACGGATCCAATTCTAAAATAATTAAAAGAACTATCTCATTTTGCTCTTGGGTTGTCAGTAAGGGATTTATTTGGCCAACTACCAGAGTTAGAATGCAGCACCACCAGGCACAGAAGCTGACAACTTCATGGCTGATGTTTCTAGACTGCTTTGGTAGCCTTGTGTGCAAAGCTTTGCATTCCTTGTTTGCATAGTTATAAGGCACCATTACGTCGGGGCTTCCAATAAATTTAATTATACAGTGATTTTTATTGCTAGTTGAACTGACTCTTGAAATGGAGTTTGTAGGGACCAGCTGGCACAATATTCATTAACTCGTCCCATTGTACCAGCGCCCGTTAAGAGTCAGAAAAGTCACCAAAAATGTATGCATTCATCCCATGGTAATCGCTTTTTGCTTTCACATGATACTGCAAAATGCTCTATCTCAGCGACGGTGCGCTGCCTCGCTCGCACTCACGCTAGAATGAAGGAATGCTCGATAGATCAGGCCATATCACCGTTATAATTTAGGTGTGGTGAAATATAATTGTATTTGTAGGTGTGTTCTTGCTGAAATTGAAGTTAGACAGAAGGTCGGATTGCCACGCTGCATTCTTTTTAATTTGACAGCAGAACAAGCAAGACACAAATTTTGAGTGCGCATAAGTTTTACTAATTAAAAGTACACAGCTTCGGATTATTCAGGGCATATTGAGCCCAACAAATTTCAAGTCTCCAGTGTTCATAATTAAACGCTCAGAAGTTTTCCGCCATCAGGTGATCTTCGTTATAAATTAATTGAGTGCGTTATTCTTAATATACCCTTTTTCAGTGGGTACAATCTTATTTAGCTACCGGCTAGCCATTGCGCAACCACGCCTTCGTGTATTCTTATATATGTATGTACACATACAAATTTAGAGTGGCTGGTCGGTCGTAGCCAACTTGGAAATTTTGAAAGCATACGTCCGCCCAAGAGAGTGGCAGCCCTACGGGAGTGGAGAAGGTCAAGAGGACTTCAGTTTTCTGTGGGATCGCTACAAACAAAGACTGCGGCAACACCAGTACATTGCGGCTGAGCCTGGACCCCGAGCTTATCCATTTGTTACCAAGCTACCTCCTGGTCGAACTTACCGTTCCAGCCCGATTAACGGAGTGTCGCTGGCAAGGAATTGAACCGATTAGGTGTCCGCATACCAAGATCAGATATAAATTGCCAAGGGAATAGCCTCAAGGAGTGAAATTATAATAGTATAAAAGCGACTGTCTTAGAAACTTCCTTTCTTTGGCAAGACAATAGAGCCAAGTTATGTAATTTTGAAACATAACCTTTTAAAATATGTTGCTAACGTAAGAATGTTAAACTTAAAGTAAACTGAAATCTATGTGCCATGAGAATTAGGCGACAAGTGTACGGTATATCGCAAATTATTTGTAAATAGATTAACTAACGAAAATTGCTCCGCAGATATTACCACAATGCTAACGATGGGCCCAACGTACGCATCGATGGATTTATTTGTTTCAATTTGTGAGTATGCAATGGCCACATAAGCCAGCAAAAGAGTTTGAAGTATAGTATATAGAAGTATATTCAGCACTACCCGATATAGGAATCACATATAATTTGAATGTACCGTCTCCAAAGCCCATTATCAGTTGCCAGGCAGTATGATTTCTGTTTTTCACTTATCTCATAGAGTTATAATCAGTTATATAGTTTATCTTGTAGCCATGATACAGTTTTGACTGATCATTAGTGCATTACACATAAGTTTTTATTTTTATATGCAATGTTTGCAAACATGTCCTATACGAAGTAAGTAGGCAATAAATAATATGGAAATCGAAATTAATATGTTTAACTAAAAACTTTCGTGGTTCGTCGCCAGTACCTTAAGAAATTAAAAATGTGCAAACCAGTAAATTAACCAACAAGAGGTCCGAACAAGGGGTGGCCGTGACATTCGCCGTGCCACCAAGGTAGGGTGGGCACAGACCGTGGGGTAAATTAACATCTTTGTTACCCTAAAACCAAATCAAACGTCTAAACCGCCAACGACTGACATAATACCGGTTACCGTTCCCAATTTCGACATTTTTGAACTTGTCGTTTTATCTTTGTGAAAGTGCACTTTTCATTGTGCTAGTGTGTAGCATAGCAGGATGAAGAAAGAACCCATACCCCATCCGACGGGCTAAGTCTAAAGAAGAAGGCTGGAAGTGCACGACTTCTGATTCCGCTATGCACAAGTAGGCGAGATAAAATCTATCTCCTCAGTACGCACACGCTACAAATTGTTACCTAACAATTGTTATCTAACAATATTAGTTACCACACAATATTAATTCTAATATATACTACTTATATTAATATAGGATATGGGGAGCTTTTCGTTTGTCTATGTGAAACTACAAAACGGAGACTTGACATTCCAAATATATTTTCTCGTATATCATTTAATTTCAATATCCAATGTCCAAAATGTCGACAAACTTCGGTATTTAGATTAATCCCATATTTCATATTTTGGATATCTCCTCCTATTTAATGGCAACATTAAAAAATCCCTTTTTCCGCTGTGTGAGCCTTGCAGCATGTGTATGTGTGTTTTGTGTATGAATGCCGAGAAGATAATTGTTATAGCTGAAGGTTTGGCATGCTCGTGGTGGCTTTTTGGAATAATTCAAATAACTTTACTTTTTACCTAAAAAACCATCCACAGCTACAGTAGAAAGAAAGAATATTTGTGAAGACTGCTTGGCGCCGATATCAGGGTATTCTCTAGTCGGGCACTCCCGACTAAAGTCATCATACTTGTTTATTATTTTTTTAAAATCGCCTTTATAAACAAATATAGAGTATTTACATTTGTGAAGCGTTTCGGGAGTTTTTCAAGTTACATTTAAAAGACTTACACCAACATAGTATGCCCTCACCAGCCCATTTATATATGTTATATTTACTTGTTTATTATATACCCATTATAATATTCCGTTGCAATGTTGATCTCTTTGAAGCTTAAATCAAGGGGTCGTAAATAATGTACTAAAATTTTTAGATTCATAATAAATATATTCGAGAGCGTTTTCGAGCGTGTTGTGGTTTCCTTCGGGTGCCTTTGCCTTCTTTATCATTTAGAATAATTCTTTTTGTCCCTTGGTATCAGCCGGATAGTCCTTGACATTGATGCTACGCTTGCCCAGACGTGGTCCAAACCACATACCAGACGAGGCGCTGGGTCCGGTGCGTTTGTCCAGCGCCTGCTGCAGTGCCAGCAAATGTGCCCATTTTCTCAGTTCAGAATCGCTGCGTCCCACACGAGGAAATGGCAACAAACTGGCGCGTTTTTGATACTCTATAGGCGAGTAAGTAGACTCATTTTAAATTATTATTAAATTAAATTTAAATTAGCTGCATCCTTACGCACCTTCAAAATCCTCAGCTGAGGCATCACCAATGCCGTAGAGGGTCTCATAGGCGACCGCATCGTTGGCATCGTGCAGGCTGTTCACCAGACTCGGATCGCTGCGTCCGACGCGTGGAAACGTATAGAGACCCATGTTGGCACCACGACGAATCTTATCATGCTCCACTTCTGAGTGGAAGAGGTAAGAAAAAATTGAGATATACCCCTTTGATATACCATAAAGTTGATATGATTTTTATAAAATATTGGACCTCTAAATTTGAACTGCCTAAAATATAACCTAAATGAGTTGCGTCCAAGTCTATTCAAAAAAATATATAGGCTTTAAGTGTCCGGACTAGTTTGTTTTTGCCTATTGCTTTGGAGCGAATTTATCCTTAAATACTTGTACAAAAATTAGTTAAATATGTATTGTAAAGAAGTCTCACTTGCTGCTCAGCTTAGGCTTTAATGAAAACAAATTGAAATGGCCTGAGTGCTGTCCCAGTAGTGCTAGCAGCTGCGTTGAGATTTATTGGCCATGGATTAACACCCTGCTAGCCAAGGCTTGAGTTGAGCTATATTAATTGGTCACAAAATGTCTGAAATCATCTCCATTCTTGGACTCACCTGCAGCACTGAATTTGGTCAGCAAAACAAGCAATAAAATTGTGTAGGTAATGTTGAGTAGTCCCAGAAACGACTTCATTTCTCAACTTTAAATTTAAATGAAAAATGTATTATATCTCTCAGATGTTCGCTTGATGTTTACTTCTTGACGTTCACAGATATAATGCTTGATGCTGCATGAAACTCTCGTCCTTTTATATCCCAAGGCAGGCAATGCGGCGTGTGGGAACAATAGCTGTGACTTCTGTAAGCTTTATGTGTGTGTGGGTGTGTCTCTAGCAACCAACCACCTGTGGACTGGGAAATGTTGCTAAGCCGAACACTTGTTGCCAATGGCTGAAGCAAAAGTTTGAAAGGGATATGCGGGGATTTTCGAGCAAATTGCAGTTGCGAAATTAGTTGGTATAGCGCGAAAGGTTTAAAAAAAAGTGCACGAAAAGAGCTTGAATGTAGAGGTATTATTTTAAAGTGGGCCCTTAAGCTGCGACTCTTGGAAAGTTACCATTGTGCCTTTTTGTTTTAAAGGAGGTCGGTTCTTAGGCGTTGGGAGATGAACGTGAGCAAAAAGCTTAACACTTAATTCAACACTTCTCTACACGAGTATACATGTATCCCGAGTCTCAATACACTAATTAAACTATATACATTCTATTAGTTTAACTGTGCTCCGTATATGTGAGCCATATCTTATCAACATCACGAGAAAAATATGAGTAAGTGGCAATATTTTTTCTTTTTCAAGATATCTTCAGCGAACTCAGCAACTGCGAGCTTCACTATTCACCTCACATATCTGCGAAACCGTAAGCCGTATGTCTACGAGGGCATTTTATCTTCGGTATGTCAAAGGTAGCCATTCTTTTTCTTGCTCGTGTTGCGAATATTTTATAGTTCTGTAGAAATAAAGCAAAGTAAACAACCAGAGAGTCAAAAGTTGTAGGAAAATCTAGGACAGGACCCACCGCCCAAAAAGTGTATATAAAATAATTGTGTATAAATAAAAAATATGAATTTATAAATAAGGAAACTCTGTTATCTTGTATGTCTGAAATTGGATGCCAGGGTATTTTCATTTAAATTAGTTTAAATTTCGTTTATTTGTTCACACACATTATAAGTACTTAGTTCAGCTAGAAAAACCAACGACCAATGAAAAAGTATCTTTTGGCTTTGGTCTTACAGCCAGCCGGAGATCATGCGGCCTGTGACGGTGGATTTGCCGCGTTCGCCGCCCGCCGCGGCGCTGCTTTGGCCCACCTTCATGGCTGGTTTGAGTGGCGCCGGAGCGGGTTTCTTATCGTCCTCTGGTTTCTTAGCGTCTGGCTTTTTGTCTTCGCTCGGCTTGTCTCCAGCTGCCGCTGTGGGCTTCGAATCGCCCGGCTTGCCATTGGCGTCCTTTTCCTTCTTGTCATCGGCCTTCTGATCCTGTCCGTTTTTCTTATCCTCGGACTTGCCGGCCGGTGTGGCTCCGCCGCTGGTCTCATTTGCCGCCTTAGTGCCGCTGGGCGTGGTGGTTGTCGTTGCTGCTTTTGTATTGGCGTCCGGCTTGGAATCCGCAGGCGCCGAAGGCGCTGCACTCTTGGTAGCTGTTCCAGCGGCCGCTGCTGGCTTAGCGGCTTCGATTTTGGTTGCTTCCTCCTTCTTGACCACCGCTTCCGGCTTGGCGGTTTCATTTGGCTTAGGCGCCGCAGGCTTAACATCAGCGGGCTTTGCTGGTGGTGCCGGTGCATTAGGCTTGGCTGCATCGCTTCCGGACTTCGGCTGTTCATTGGGCTTAGCGCCACCGGCAGCAGTTGGCGGCTTAGTGGCTGGCAGCACGGGCTTCTGTTCGCCTGGTTTGACGCCAGCAGCAGGTGCTTGGGGCTTAGCGTCGGGCTTATTATCGCCATTAGGTTTCTTGCCATTAGCGGGTTTCTTGTCATCTGTTTTTTTATTAGCCTTATTGTCCACTCCGTTGCCTTTTTCATCCACATTCTTGACGGAGGCGCGTGCGGCCGCTGTCAAGATTGCGGCACCTCCGCTGGCGCTGCTTGCCGATTTCCTGGACTGCAAGTCCATCGTTAAGTAAACTAAAAGCTATTTGTAATCGGTAAGAACATTCTACTTACGCCATTTGCGTCTGGTTTCTTCTCATCATCGCCGTTAGTGATTTCATCAACCTCACCCACAGAAACCTCATCGGCCGCCATCTTCTTTCGCATAAACTTCACATAGGCTACGCGAGTGGCACGTGTCACTTCGCCCAGATTGGGATTGAATTCTGCGCATGAGGAAAGACATCAGCTTCAAATAAGCTAAATTGTTACTTTTACCCACCTATCAACTGGCTCTGATCCATCTGTAGACCCTCGTTCGCCTGCTCAATTATTTTGCGCCTCAGGCTGCGCTGGCTGTGACGCTGCATGGAGGAGCGCTTGGAGCCAATGGGATTCGCAGTAAACGTGTTCTTTCTGGCAATGGCATTCCAGTCCTTATCGCTGGGAATTAAAAATAAGGCTAGCTAAGCATTAAATCCCATCAAGAAGCGAATGTGCCTACCCTTTTTGGGTCTTCTTTCTGCCTATGACCTTGGCCAATGAGGAGAAGATGTCGAGTCCGTTTGCACTTTCGTCCATTTCCTGCTTTAAGTTCTCCACAAAGCCAATCTGGAAGTCCTTCATAATGCGACGTTCCATTACTTTGCCTTTGGTGGTGCGCGCGGCAGCTGTCAGGGAATGGGAGATTGATTGGGATTAAGTGGTGGGTGGCTTAGCAACATGTTGTGTCAAAGCCGGTGTCATTACCTTGCGTCTTCTTCTCAATGTCCGGCACATCCCAGCTGTTATTGGTGAAAATCTCCAGGAGCTCAAAGCGTAGCGAGCTAATATCCTGGCGCACCTCAATGATGTCATCCTCGGTGATGCCGTAATCGTCACGACGCCGCTGCTCAGCGGTCACATAGCGACGCACCAGCAGCTTCATCACTTTGTCATGCAGCGTCTGGGCCTTCTCCATGGACTTTCGCTAGGGGGGCGGGATGTGGGTGGAGAGGGAGGGAGTCAGTAACATGAGTGCTAAGCGCATTTGCATTGACGCAGCAAAAGCCACAGGAGCTTAATTGAAAATGATTTGCCAAAGGATTTGTCTTGATTGCGGAGTTCATGAGCTAGGGTTAGGCTGGAGCACATAATGTTTTGGGGGTTGCCACCTACCATGAAGCTCTTGGTGCGAGAAGGTCGCTTGCGTCCAAGTGTCTTGCGCACCATTTTCATATTGGGGCACAAATTGAAGGGCGGTGGTATGGTGCCGCCATCCTCAAAGTAACTCATCCACAGCTGCGACCGGGCAAACTTCCACTCGGTATCGGCACGCTCCGAAATGATTTGATACGAATTAGACATCATGGCAATCAGCATGTTGAGCAACACAATAATATTGATAACCGAGTATGAGCCGAACATCAGCAGCGCCCAGAAGCGTGTGAAACTCTTGATGCCAGCCAAATCAAAGGAAACGAGATCCACAAGACCAAAGGACGCCCAGAATAATGACTGCGAGGTCTCAAACAAACTGCAAGTTGAATATCCTCAGAGCTCTCACCCACAGGATTTTTACCTGTTTGAACTTACTTGGAAAATCGCCGCCAGATGGTGCAGGCCTTCTCCTGGTCATCAAAGTCCGCCACATCGGGATGCAGGTGATAGCATTTGTTCTTCTCCAGTTCCGCATAGTACCAGAGCAGCTGATTCAAGCCACAGCCAAAGGCAAACAAAACCAAGGTATAGATAAAGAAAAATTTTATAATATCGATAATCATTCGGCCCAGCGACACTTGCAGCGGTCCCAAATGCGGATTAATCGAGAATATGTGCACCAGTTTCAAATAGGAGAAGACCATGCCCGCAGCAAAGGCACCCTCGGAGAGCAACATGGGATCAAAGGGATGCCAATGCTCGCGCGGAAAGTAGGGATCAATGCCTCTGAACCACAAATCACGCTGAAAGTAATTGATAAGGAGTCAATATATAATCGATAGTAAATTTATAAGTATTTAAGAAGTAATCGATAAGTTATCAATATGTTATTTTTATGATAACGAAATGTAATCGATAATAAATCGATTAAACCACGATAAAAATAAATAAAAAAGAGATAAGTCACTGCGTAATCAATAACTTATCGATCATATATCGAACAGGTTTCGGTAGATTATCGATTATTATTCGATAAGATATTGTAAATATATCTAATTTCTATCTTGTAATCTCAGCTTACATGCACTATGACCCAAGCGGTAGCTCTACAAAGTATCCAAGTGACATAAAACGTATTCGATATATAATCCACAATGTTCCACAGATCCATGATATACTCAAACAAGCCATCGGAATATAGACTCTTGAGCTCCTCGAGAATAAGCGCCGCTATATACATGATAATAGCCAGCTCAATGGGTCCAGGCAGCGAGCCGCGTTCGTGTTTGCGCCAATCCTCCAACATGGTCAACATCCAGGGAAAAGCCAACAGCTCGAAAGTAATTTGCACCACGCGCAACGAAGCAGCGCCCAAAAGCACTAAAGACGAAAAGTGTTTAGGAAAGCCGATACGCCACGGATATATCCATGACTCACTCAAGAAAAACATGTAGGAGCAGGAGTGTGTGATGAACTTAACAAACGGCTTGCGCATGAATTTGGCACCCTCCGAGTCCGGCGCCAGGATATACTTCAAGCTGTAAATGGGAAAACTGCAGCCCAGCTTGATGACTTCCATGAGCTGCTGGGAGGCTTGTTTACGTCGAAAACCAGGTAGGCCCTCATACCAAATGGCTGCTAGCAATTGTTGGACATTGGGATGTGCCACAAACTGTCGTTAATATAAGTATAAAGTGGTATAAGATATTTAAAGGATATTAGCGGTATCCTTACCGTCTTCTGCTTGTATCGTATCGCCAGTTTCAAGCGATCCAGTGTCTGCCGCTGACCGGGACCCCAAATTGCTTGCGATGGCTCGTGATTAAAATTAAGCATCACCTCCAGCTCCATGGAAGTGCGCGCGTGGTCCAGCAGTGCCGTCACAAAATTTTGTACCGCTTGACGCATTTCCTGATTCATGCAAAAGGCATGTGTACATATTAGTATATATAAAACAAATTTTTAAAATTATTTAAGCTGTTTGAGTAAAATTTACTAAGAACAAGATGAATTATCAAATAGTTAGACAATTTTCCAATCAATTAGTCGGTCAGTCATTTGGTCCTACCGTATATTCCGCACGAAACTCCGATTCCATGGCTTGCAACCGCTTCAGTTCCCAGGACAATTGAAACGCGGTGAGCACAGGATCACGTGAGCTCAAAGCTATCAGCGAGCTAGCCGAGAGTGCACGATACGCATTTATACGCGACTGCGAGTGACGCAGGGAGTCGGTGGTCTGCGAGGTCACGCACTCATCGCAACCGCACCTACAAAAGCAAAGATTTTATGTGGAACCCCAATTGCAATGTGCTGTCCACTGACTTAACATCGTGCGGCATAGGCAGCGTTGCACCGCGATCCAGCAGGATCTTGAGTATCTCATAATTGTTGCGATGTGCAGCCAGAATCAGCGGCGTTATGTCCGTAGTGAATGTAGATTTGGAGCGATCCACCGATTCCCAGCTCTGTTCCGAAGGAAGCCATAAGTTATTGGTGATCAGAGTGTGGGCACATTACTCACATAGGGTTGTCCATCCTTGTGATTGCTCTCCTCCCACTGCAGCAGCTCCTCGACAGCCTCCACATACTCCTCGGAAATGGCATGCAAAAGAGCATCGCCCACCTCAATATTATTCTCAAGCAATATAACCATCAGATCAAAATTCTCATTCTCAATGGCTGAAATCAATGCGGAGCGATTCATGGGATCCGTGCAGTTGATGTTAAACTTATCGGATGGTGTTTGGGCATATTCTTCAAGAATTCTACAAAGCTCATGGGTTTCCATTAGGCTGCCAGGATAACATAGATAAATACTAACTTCTTGACACCTGGCAAATCACCACGCTCGCAGGCCAGAATGAAGTTCTTCTCCACATCGCTGAGTATATACTCCTCGGCCATCATCAGATCGTAATCCAGGCGGGAGCCAGCCGCCTTTTCGGCATCTGTTTCCGTCATGGCGCGGCCTTTGTTAACACAATATCTAATTCAAGCAAAACAAGCAAGGTTGCTAAACACTTCACATTTTCAGTAAACACAACACGAAGTATCCTGGCTTAATCCTTTTAATTTTTATTTTTGAGTGGCCTCCGACGTATCCTTTTGTGCTGCCCGATGTTGTGTCTCCAATTAGCCGCGTTGAACTGCTCGCAATGGGCCAGTACAGCGAGGTATATGCCACTAATTACATTAGCGCTGGTCTAAAACTCGGTCAATGTGTATGCAATACAAGTCAATGGGCCCCCTCAGGGCCCTATGATAATCGCCAATTGACTTTAGCTCTCTGATTGCTAAAACAGAAAAAAAAAAATAAAAAAACATTCCGAACATTTTGCATTTGCCTCCACCTCAACGGGCTAAGAAGCGACGCACGTGAAAATGCAAGGAAACAAAAATGCAGAAAACGAGACGTAAATTATGTTCGATTTTCGATTTGAGAAGCCCTAGGAAACGAGCAGCACTCGTTTACTAAAATGTGCTATGCCCAGGCAGTTACATATACAATCTGGTAATCGATGATAACCAAAATAACTTAGGGAAGTGTCGCAAGTGTCAGTTTAATTAAAGATTATATGATAAGAGGTTTTATTTGTTAATAATTCCCTCTCCTTATTTTGTATTTAACCAGCACCCTAAATTGAGAATTTTTATCTAAATAATACACATTTAAATCTTAAATAAACATCTAAAACAACAGTTGAATATATTGTTTTAAGACTTCTCGGATATAATAATTACAGATAGAAAAACAATGTTATTGTATTTAATACTTTTATTTATGATAATTGCATTGACATCTTTTTAGCTGATTTTGGTGTAAAATATGTTTGTTATGCTTAGGAACTCAACTTTTAATTTCCTTCATCAAAAAGAATTTATTATAGATTTTTAAGTTTATATTTTAGACATTTGTAATAAGAATAGACTTTTCTTATATATATAAGATAGAAGAAATAAGATATTTTAGAACTTAACTTTTAATCGAATTCAATGTTAATACGATTCAAAATTATACGAAAATTGTTCAAATCTAAAAATTGGGTAAGCGACCAAAACCATTAATATTAAACAATTAAAAAAAAATTTTTTTTGTTCGAATCGGAAATTATTATAATTATAATATAATTAAACCGAGTTATACGCAAGGTCTACCACATCTCTAATACTGTAAATATATGTGACTTTGCTAATTTAATGTATAACAGTTAGCAATGCAAAAGCTTCATACAAAGCTTTTCTTAAACTTTAAAGCATATTTATAAGCACGCAACTTTAAAGCTTCAAACTCTTAAGAGAAATATGAACATTCTTAAGAGAGCCAAGAAATAAATTTCAGAGAGCAATTGACATAGCTATTATTAAGTTGAGTAAACTATAATTAAGCACAGCAACAAGTAGCATTTTTAAGAAACCTTAAAACCCTTTGAGTTTAATTTTTTATAAAAATATTTTGTATATTCCAATTGTGAATGTTAATTAATAAAAGTTTTAGCACATTTTTTAAATTGATGATATATCACTGACGGATACCGCAAGCAAAAGCAACAACTGTCTCTCCGGTTGCATGGGGCAAATACTTGACTGCATTTCGTGTTGCCTACTTTTGTGCGTTCGGAGTGCGTGTTTCTATGTCAATGCACTTGGAAATTAATGTGCTGCCTGGCAGTGGGATGTGCGAATGCTCGCAAATCCGCGGGAGAGCAGCTCCTTTGACATGGACCTGGCACAGGTTGCCACAGTGGGTGGAAAGCACAAATGGCCTCGAACGTGTTTAAGTTGTGGAGAGTGCAAGGTGCACGTAGCGCATTGCAACTTGCAGAGTGCAATGCACTTCGCTGACATTTCTCTGTGTGCTCGAAATGAAATTTTGAAATTAAAGTAGCGAATGTGAATGAGTGGATTGTGAATAGGTGGTATTAATGATTGTGAACGACAACTAATACGTAATAAGTGTGAATTGAATTCTAATTTTTTTTACTAACAGAGAAGCTGCTTATAGATTATATATAGATGAACTTTATTCTATCAAGAATAGGGAAAGAAGTTTAAAGTAATACTCTCTGAAAGTTCACAAATTCCAAAAGTTCATTTTATTATCATTAAGCATTCATATGAACTAGTTCCCATTGCTGCTGTGCCTTGAAAATATGACGCGAGCGCTCGAAAATGCTTAACTCGTATACAAGTAGTCCTCACTTGTATCCAGTTTCCCCCTTAGGTGGCCATTTGCGTGTGCAGTGCGCATAGAGCGTGGTAAAAGCCGTTACACTTAATGAAACATTGGCCTCCAGAAGAACACGAACACCCACACGCCTCCACCTGCTAGTTGGCTTCTCCTGCGCGTTGACAGCAAGGCTTTCGCTTCAGCAGGCACTTGTAAGCGAGCGAAATGTATCTTTCAGCCCTTGAGAACCAGAGGACGTTTTGCTGCTTGTTAGCACAAGTTGCACTTTCACTGACTTTAGAGCCAGCAGCAACAACAACAACAATTACTATGTGCTTAGAACTTTGGAAGCAGGGTGAACTTTTGCTTGACAAGTTTCATTTTTTTCTGCAAAATAATATGATTTTTTTCAGCAGAAGATGCAGGTAAATATTTGAAGTAGAATAAAAATAAAATAAATATGAACTGTCAACTTAGGTGAACTTGTGCCTTTTAGCAGAGGACCGAAGCGACTAACTTAAGGAGGAATTCTTCAGAATTTTTTTGTCAAGAACAGCTGTGTTTCACGTGCGATTTTAAATCAAATAGGAATTGCAGTCGGATCATAACAACTGCGCAATACTCAATTCATGATAATATTATCCATAGTCTGTCTAAAAAAGTCTTTTAGATTATTGGGTTGCTGTTTTTGTTGCTCATAATTAAATTAAAATTTTTTAAATATTTTTCACAAGTTAATTTGTTAAATAAATTTTCTTTTATATCAAAAAGGTCAACCGTGCGTATGAGCAATGCAGTTAGAAAAGGAGAACCATGGAAAATGGATCAAATTGAGATATTCCAAATTTAGCTCCATGAACAATATGCTTATGTGAAGTTTAGAATTGAAAAATATATCAAGCTTAGCAAGTTCTTCACCTACAATTAACTTGCTTCTCTAGTACGCTCAGGTGTTTAAGGAATATGCGGCATGCAAATTACATCAAAGCAAAAACCGTAAATCAATTCCCCTTTCACCCTCAAACATTGTGCATTGCGGTTAAGTTGCATGTGATATTCTTGAAGAAGGTGCCTGTGCATGGAACAAAAGACTCTAGTGTTCAGTCTTTTAAAGAGAACAAACAACGAGATTAACACTACGAAAGTATGTGTAAAACTAATGTAGACTCTACCAAGCTGTTTGAAAAACAATACGACTTCAAAGCGGCACAGGTTAAAGTTAAAATGCCCGTTAATCATGAATTTATTGACGCTATTGTTTGTTCGCATGAAGAACTTGCACGTAAATAGCCGCATCTCAACTTGACCCAAACGCAGCAAAAAGAGAATAGAAAGGAAAGAAAATGCCCGCCCATTGGCCACCCACCAGCAGGAACAGCACGAGGGAAATTCACCACCAATTGTCGCCCGGCTATTAAAGCCGACGTCAGTCTGTGGCAGGCGCTCAGTGCACAGCTTGGTGGCCAGGCGAACGGACCTACCACGCTGCAAGGATAACGCGCGCCGGGAAACTGTTGCCGGATAAACATATATATATATTTTCTAGTTTTTTATTCTGTTTTTTTGTCTTTACTGAAGTGTAAACAACATAATACTCTGTATATACGTACACAGACTACTAAGGGGAGCATCGAGCTATAAAGTACAAACAGAACAAAATAGAAAACATTTCAGTGGCAACAATTGCAGCTTACAGAATCGGATCGGAGGCGACGATTTCTGTTTGTTTCCAAAGCTGGGTGAGTGAAAGTGCCTCTGGCCGATAGCAGCTCAAAGGATACGCCAATGTGCATATTATGCTGTAAATATGTTTTTATTTTTCCCTGGGAGAGTTCATTGACTGTCCTTTTAGAGAATCAGATTATATTATTTCTTCCGTTTTCTCAAATATGTTATTATTTTAGTATTCATGTTAGTTAAAAAAAATAATATAATTTACAAGAGGAGTATAATTCTAAAATTAATTTTTTATCAAATGTATGCTACTTTTCGAAATAATTTCAAAATGTATCCACAAATTTATCTGTTACCCAAATGCATACCAACACATAGGCAAATATCTTTTTTGCCTATAAATTTAAAAAAATACGTGTTGTTATTTATTGTCTGCTCCACCTCTTACTTGTTGTTTGCAAATATTCGCGATTGCCTGGGTGTCCCTAACGCAACTAACATTGCGATTTTCCCCATTTATTAAACTAAATTCCTATCGAGCGATTGGAATTTCATTTTACCGCTGTGAAGTATTTGACTGAACAATTTTTCATTTTGTATTTGGCAAGAATTTATATTAAAAAAATAAAACGTTAATGGGAGATTCAATGGATATGCCTGTGGGACAGCCAAACCAGAAATATGTAAATATAAAATAAAATGCTTTTACGCTGACTGTGGTTTTGACTAATGGATATGCATTTACCATGGTAAGCATTAATTTTGCATTATCGTAAAAGCAGAGCTACTTAGCGTTATAATAATTATATAAATATATCGTAAATATTTATGAGCTTATAAATGTCAGATTTTATTTCCGTTATTCGAATTGTAATATAAATAAATATACCTTATTAAAAATATATTTTTTGCTGTCTATGATAGATGCCAAACTGAACTTCGACTTAATATAAAGTACAATCCATACAAGAAAATGTTCCACAACAAGCGATGCCATAAACTAGCTAAATAAGTTCAAAGAGTGTCTCGAAACTAAATACCAAATAAGAAGAACATAGAAATCCGATAAGCCAGGGAAACTAAGGAGCTCAGAATGCATCAGGTGCTCAGTTATGAGACGGCTGTGAGGGCCAACAGCAGCTCGCGCGATTATCGCGAATATGTGACAAAACGCACCTGCGCCTCACTTCTGCTCACCATTGGCTTCTTCATGCTCATCTCAGGTGTGCAACGCCCAGGGGGTTGAGGGGGATATGCTCTAGGACATGCTAATGAGTCGTTTGTTTGGTTCGCAGGCTATTTGCTCGGCAATTTCGTGACGGAACGCAAATATTACATACGTCAGCTGCTCACAAAAAAGGCAATCAAGCTTGACGATGGCAGCGGAGGCGATGGCGACAGGTATGTGCAGCTGAATAGCGCGGATTATGGAAATTTACAGGAACTGCGCGCTTATCAGAAGAACAAGGACCAACTGCTGGCTGCCGCCCAGGTGCTGAACAAGCTGCTGCAACAGGACGAGAGCGAAATATATTTGGCCACATCCTTGAACACGGAAATCTTCAACAAATACATCAGTTGCACACAGGACATACCGCCGAATACGGACATTAAGGCCAGTCAGTTTATAGAACAGCTAATTGACAATACCATAGCCAGGCAGCGGGATTGCATGCGGATTATTCAGGTGGTAATCGATAATCATTTGGCCAACAGTCAACTTTAATCCCAATGGACATAAGAAAAGTAAGCGTTAAACTGTCGCAGTCGTTAATGTGTTTTTAGTTTTAAATATAATGTATATTCTGTATTTAACAGACAGAAATTATTTTAAATAATGTAGCGCAAAGATTTCTATGAATTTTATATATATATAGATATTTATGAGCTTGTGTATTTGTGTGCGTGCGCGTAGACAGTTTTCATATTGTATTTTCAAAGCAAATAAAGCCAAACCATATTAATATGTGTTGAAAATAAACTGTCAGCCAAGTCAGAGCCGAGTAACCTTGTCCATTAGCCGCGACTCGTTTGACAAATGATGAACTAGCACAACAATAGATCGGCTTAACAAAAATAGATTGCTGTATTTATATATATAGGTGTGTAAGGAGGAAACACAAGCTAAAGCTGAAAGCTTTTATTTTTTTGGGTCTTCAGGTTTTCACACGCAGTCAGCGCAGGTGGGCGTTCTGTGGCGCCTCAGGCGTCAGCCATTGGATGTTGTGGGTGTGCACGGGAGGGGGAGGTCGACGCAGAGCTAATCACCTAAGGAACAGCAAAGCTCACAACTTAACCAAATTAATTTCTTTTTGTTTTTTGGAGTTTTGTTTTTGAAATATGTAAAGCAAAGTGCGCAGAGCTGATGCAACAAAATAAATAAAGAAAATAAATTATTGGACAAGATTTATGATATTATTAGTTGTATCGACACTTTGTTACATAAAAACCAAACAGGTCAATTTCGGGACAGGGCTGGGCTGGGCTGGGCTAACTGGCCCCAAACACATTCATAATTAATGGTTTCCACTTGGCATTTTGTTGTTTATGAGTGTTGCCCGCAAATTCACATCATTATTGATTGCGTTTTTTATTGGTGTGAAATAAATATAATAACGTAACGAAATTCTAATTAAGTGGGCTGCGTAGAAAGTTATCTTATGTAACTATCCATAGCTCATTCTAATTTAATTTAATGTTCAGTTATTTGAAACAATAAATCTTAAATTAAATATACTTATTATTATAAGAAAAAGCGATATATTATTTTAGCACATAGTTAGTAGTAATCTGCCCGTCCATCTGTGCTATTAGCTAAAATTTTATGTTTCTTATTTCTCAATTCTCCCAAATTGATTGAATATAATGTGCATATTTTAAAATCACTTAATAGTCATCATCATTAAAACTTAATTTTTTAATGCCGATGTCGATAATTCTGATTCAAAAACTTCAAACATTTATATTAAGTCTTTAGACTATCATCAAATGAAATATTTTTGTGAAAATTTAATAAGCCTATTTAAATCTAATTTAAATACTGAACCAATCTAAAGGCTAAATCATGACCACTTTTATTATCAGTTCAGCTTTTAAAAATTTATACTGAACTGAAATCTGGGAAGATTTCTTTATTAATACTTCTGATATATCTCGAACAAAATCTTCGAAGTGTCAGTTGTAGCAGCAGCAATTGAATTGCACTTAGGGATTGGAAAATCGTGTGTTAGCTTATCATACATATGTATATATTGTATTACTGTGTCAATCATAGCTTTTCAATCAAAGAGCAAGTTTCTCCGGCATCACTTTGAGTACTTCAGCAATTTCGATAAAAAGATATCAAAGCTCGCCGAGGCCTCTTTGAGAAATGACAGTGGACTGAAGACAAAATATCTAGGCCTGACATTAAGCTGCAGACAATGGTTAGCCAGCGGTAGATGGTACAGGAGTTCATATGATGGAACAAAGCGGCGCTGCCTATAAATGCCCAAAATGTCAGTAGCCTAACAAGAAAACAATGTGGGGGTATCAAAAGTCAAAATGAAGCTGCCTTTCGCGGGTGTGACCACAGCGTGGCGCACAATTAACCGGCTGCCAAATGATTGATTTAGCTTATTTAAAAACTCATTTCGTATAATCTGGAATGGACGTAACCGTATGAAACTAAAAGTTAACACGAAACCGGCGATAGCTACCAATTCATAGCTGAAGATCCGTATCGGATACGTCTATGCGAAGAAGATGATGATGATGACCTCCAAACTTAAGCCCCAAATCCAAAGCGCAGATGCAAATGAGACCAAAATGCGTTGGCAAATGTTGTGCCTGTGTGAGTTTCTGTGTGCGTTGTGTGTGCTTCCCCCTCCTCTCTCAGCAGTGCCATCTATATTTCACACCTTAAACGATTGGATCAATGGATCCCTTGCTATTTCATTTCTATATTTGCATTTCAAATTATTGCCTGCTGCTCTTATTGACATGTTTATTTTATACGCGCCGCACACAAAGGCCTTTGTCTTACCTACGATTATTTTGCCTCTTTTTTTTAACCAATCGAATATGAACCAGCATATCATATTTTTTAACAAATTTCTCAATTGTTTTGTGCTATTTATATAGACATCTTCATGTTGATCGTTCGTTTAATTTGCCACTAATAAATATAAATATCCGATTGGCTGCATTTTTGACTGAGGGATTGGCTGAGGCATTTTGACAGGCGCATGTCATAATAGAGACACGAATCCCTCAAATCAAACGGTTGAGTTGATTATGCAGACACGTGTCTATCAGACAGGGGAAACACTCCACCCAAACAGTAGTTATTAGTTGTTGATAAAAGGTGTGCCAAGTGGCACAAAATATGTTGTAAAATTAGCGTAGATCAATTAAAGTCTTACAACATTTCGCTGAATTGCGGATTCAGGCTTATAATCCAAAACCCAGCTACGAATTGCCATTAACATATATGCAAGACATTAATGCTCACATAAAATGTATTTCCGAAAAACTTATGTTTTAAATTTTTACGGCACTTAAATACTAGTATTAAATATGATTATATTATATTTTTCAAATTTTTTTTGAAACTCAAAAAGTTATTTAAAAAAAATAAATAATGTTGAGGTATTTCTACTAAACGATAACCTTTATAGCATATTTTGCGTTTATTTTAACCCCAGAGACTTCCACACAAAAGTTTGGTCTGGAAATCGAAAAATATTTTTTGGTACAGGGTATAAAAAACGTCCTATCTCTTAGACAGATTTTTATATTGTTAGCTGTTGTGGACAAAAAATTATTCGCAGCTCATTTGAATTTCATTTCGAACAAAATCTGGGTGATAAAATAAATAATAATGCGTAATTTAACATGACGTTTTACACTTTTCATAAGTTAGCTATAATAGCCACAATGAGGGTATGGGCAGCTCCTTCAAAATGTATCAAAACAACAACCACAAGACTTCATTAAGAAATTACCCAAAGCCAATGGGTCCGCATGCTAGCTGGCATTTCCAATTTCCAGTGCTGGCAAACAAGTAGCCAAAAATGTGGCTCACGTTCAGCCCGGAGTTTAGTTCGGAATCGTGTGCAGCTGGCGCTGCGACCAGGTGATTCTGGACAGGCTTTGCCACTTGCTGGCTTTGGGCCACCATCAAAATTTGCTCAATGCACAAAATGCCAAAAGCCTGCTTAGTTGGCTGCCAGGTTGCCAGGCACTTTTTGGCCAAAAGTCAAATTGAAAATTTGTTTCTTTGAGGCCGAGCAAAGAAACGCATATACGATACATATGCGATAAGGCGGTAAACCGAAAAGGGTGCAAACGGGTTCAAAAGCGCACAAGGCGATGCGACTCCACTCAAATATCAAAAGTCACGACGAAGAAAGCAGGTTTCGAGTCGTATTGCTATGGTAGGCTATATGGTAAGCTATTGCATGGCATGGTCTATGGTGTAGTGTGCTATGTCTCGAGATCGAAGTTTGGTTTTTTTGAGCGCAGGCTGCGCCTTACAATACGTCCCGAAAATACGAATAATAATATGCACTAAATGATGTGGCTGTGACTGTGCCTGCGCCTGTGCCGACTCCAACTGTTGTCTGTTGGCTATGTGGCAAGTTGTCATGCCACACAGCCGCGCTTTTCACTGCTGAGGGTCGACAGCGGAAAAGCTGCACAGCCAAACACTTCACAGCTCGTCGCTTGCTCAAAACCCAACTTGCGGTGCGGTATTCGTGATTTGTTGCCAATTTTGTAACGCACTGGAGTTCATAGGCATTATCTGATCTTATTATAGGAGTAGTTGCTTGCAATTGGGTTTTATTTTCCTTTTGTGGCATTTTTGAAAACAATTGATGACAATTTCACACTATTTTTTTAGTATTTCCATAAGCCTATAAATATTGTAAATATTTGTTGACATCTGTGCACCGCAAGAAATAATAAAGAATTTTGGACCCAAACGTTAACAAAAATTTAAAATTTCTTAAGACAAGAAGTAAATGTTATGCCCATTACAAGCATGCAAATACTTGTAATAAGTTTTCTGTTATTTGTTTAAAAATCAATTAACTGTAATGCACTTGAAACTTTGAGCACAATACTGACGAATGTTATTTAACATGTCGACATCTAACTAGTATAAATATTATTAAATAGTTACTTACACTTAGTTAGTTACACTTACTCCAAATCCTCGAGCTAGCTAAACCGTCAACTAGAAATAAGATAGACCGCGAAACAATCAACGTTTAATAAAATTTGTTTTTTTATAAAGAGCATGCCATAGTTAATGCAGCTCAAAATAGACTTAAAAGTGCGTTGAGGTCGAGCATTCATGGCCAGGCGTAACAATGCTTCCAGGTGAGGCACACGCAGACTTGGCCAACGGTTGAAGTGCGGTCAATAGTTCAGCAAGGTAAACAAAAAGTGCATGCAACAATATCACATGGGCAATTTGCAGACTTTAGTTGCACTTTTTGTTCAAATGTTGGTCAAAACGAGCGAGCTTAGAGGAAATAGCTAAGCAAAACGGAAATCGGCTGTGCGGACTGTGCGTAGAGAAGAGCTGAGCTAATTTGCATGCGCAAATGGCGCTAATTTGAGAGAAATTTTTACCGCGAAATGGCCAGAAAATTTGGCGGAAGCAACAACCGCGGTTAAGACCTGGGCAAGCTTGAAATGTGGCGCGTGTTCCCGCTGGCCTTTTGGCTCTGTAGCTTTGAGTGTGGCTCATTAAGATTTAGCCAACGCTGCAGGCAAGGATGTTGGCTTGGCCAAAACCAGTTGCTGTTGCCACGCGAAGATGCGCCCGAATGCGGTTAAATAACTTCAAAGCAGCGTCATAAAACAGAGCCACAGCCAATTCGAATTGGAAAGTGGCCAATGATGCGACGTCTGCCATGCTGTCGAAAATGCGACATGCGTAAGGCCCAAGCGAAAAGCTTAATTAAAAAACAGTTCAGCTTATGTGTAGAATGGCTCGTTTATGATTGCATCATGTATAGGGCAGAGCATAGACTTAATTTGCAAACGTTGCAAGTTCAAAAAGCCCATAAGGGCCACTTGTATTGTAAGCGAACAAACAATAACAGAAAAAAAACCAACAATATGCTAGCAAAAAGAAAAGGCAGCTTTCATTCATTGGGCTGCCAGCCAACAGACACAGTCTTAGCCATGATCAACAGTTGGCAACATTGATGCTGACATCGCCGTCGCCGTCGCCGTCGCAGTCACCGTCGACGTCGCCGTCGCCGTAGCAGCAGCCGTCGACGATGGCAACATTGCGGCAGCATCTTCAGCTTCAGCTTGGTCCGCTGGGGCAGGCGAGGGAAACCTAAAAATTGAACGCTTGCGCTTCAGTTTCAGTCTGCAGCAAACGTTCAGACGGTTCAGTTGTTGTTTACTAGCGGCCAGCCGCAATCAGCTACTCCCCCCAAAAACCACCAAAACAAAACAAAAATAAATAAATAAATAGGAAAAATAATAAAAAAATTAAAATACAATAAGAAAAAGCAAAACAAACGGCTAACAATCTATCTATCGACCGGTTGTTGTTGCTCTCGGTGTGAACTGTTCGCTAATTTGAGGAAAACGAATCGGAATTTTGCAATTAAACG